TCGGGCGAAAGGGGGGGATAGCAAAGGGGGGGTTTGAGAATCAGCTCACGTAGCTGATTTTCCCCGCGCCTCCCGGCGCCGGGAGCGGCCATGTATCGAGGAATTGGCCCTTCGGCGAGACCGAAACCAGCTGCATGCAGCAAATTTCGTAACCCCCCCTTTCCCAATCCCCCCCTTTCGCCCGACCCGAAAGTCCTAAGGGGCCCACAGGCCAGGCTGCCGGGCGCTCCCGGGCGCTCTCGCGCGCTCCCGGGCCCTCTTGGGGGGTCCCCGCGTGACCTTTCGAGAGGCCACGAGCGCGTTGCTCGGGACATGCATGTCCAACGGTGTTGCAGACTGCTCTGGGGATCGCCCTGGAGCCATATTGAGCGCCTCGTGGGCAGTCATGGAGGCCATGGACAGCGGCCCAAGAGGCAAAAATCGTCAAAATCCATGGTTTTCGCATGTATGCCTTTTCCGTCTTCAGAGCGTCCTAGACAGCCGAAGAGGCGCCCAAGATCGCCCCAAAAGAGCCTAAGAGCCCTCAGGAGGGGCCCCAAAGGCCCCCAAGACGGCACAAAGAGAGGCCCAAGATTGAGAACACGAGCTGACATTTTTAGCCCTCCGCCTCAAGATGGCCCCCAAAGGCCCCCAAGACGGCCCAAGAGCCCTCCAAGACGTCCTCCAGGAAGGCCCGAAAGGGTCAAAATGGCCTCCAGTCGGCCAAGATGACCTTCAAGATGCCTCCAAGACGGCCAAGTTGGCCCAATTGAGCCCCAGAGTGCCTCAAGAGGCTCTCAAGAGGACTCTTCCTCCATTTCCCCTTTTCCTCACTCTCATCCTCTTCCCCAACCTTCTCCACATGTTCCCCGAAAGCTTTCCAAACCTATTCGGGAAACACTCGTTCCGAAAGGTTGGCAAGGATCTGACCCAACCTTCGACCAGCAGGCCACAAGACGCCTCCAAAAGCTCACAAAAGCTCCCAAGGGGCCCCGAACACGCCCATTCCTCACTCTCCTCATCTTCCCCGTCCTCCCCCACGTGTTCCCCGAAGGCTTTCCAAACCGATTCGGGGAACACGTGGTCTGATAGCTTGACAGGGCTCTGGCCTCAACGTTCGGCCACATAAGCGCATCCGAAAGGGCAGGGGGCGGCGGTGACTCGCCGTAGGCGTCTTCGATCCGCCGCCCCCTGTTGATTCATCACAGGGGTGCCTGGCGTGCTGAATCCTTTCGATTTTGGTTTGGTTCTTCCCAAAAGAACTCTCCCTGGGGCTTCAGCCCGTCCCGCCAGTCACCCTAAAGAGACCTCAACGACCGCAAAAAACCTCCAAGACGGCTCCAGATGGCCTGCAAAAGATGGCCACGTTGGCCCAAGATGGCCTCCAAGATGGCCCAAGATTGCCCAAGATGGCCTCCAAGTTGCCAAAGATGGTACAAGATGGCCTCCAAGACGGCCCGAGAGCGTCCACGATGCCTTCAAGTTCGTCCAAGAAGCCTCCAAGACGGCCCAAAATGACTCCAAGATGGCCTAAGACTAGCCAAGACGCCCCCAAGAGGCCTTCAAGACGTCCTCCAGGAAGGCCCGAAAGTGCAAAAATCAGTGATTGTCCTTAGGTTTTCGAAGAATGTTGGCATTTTCGTCTTATCAACTCTCCGACGGCCCAAGGCGACCCAAGAGGCCCCAAACATCATCCAAAGATCGCCCAAGAGGCCTCCAAGATGGCCCCATGACAGCCCAAGAGGCCCCCAAGAGGGCCCCAAGGAGAGCCCAAGACGGCCCAAGATGGCCCCGAAGACGCCGAAGATGGCCTCCAAGACGGCCAAGATGGCCTCCAAGATGAGACGGCCAAGATGGCCTCCAAGACATCGAAAATTGCCCCAAGATGCACCCAAGACGGCCCCAGATGGCCTGAAGATGGCTGTAGACTGCCCCAAAGGCCAGCCAGATGCCTCCAAGACGGCCCACGAGCCCTCCAAGACGTCCTCCAGGAAGGCCCGAAAGCTTGGAAACCACCTGGTCCGATAGCTCGCCCAACTCCGCGTTCCTCGAAGGCGTTCGAAACCCACTCGGGGAACGCGTGGCCCGATAGCTTGGCCAAGCTCAAATCCAACTTTCGGCCACGCAGGCGCTTCCAAAAAGAGGGCGGCCGTGATTCGCCGTAGGCGTCTTCGATCCGCCGCCCCCTGTTGATTCATCACAGGGGTGCCTGGCGTGCTAGATCCTACCGCGTTTGGTTTTGGTTCGTGTCCAAAAGAACTTCCCCGCCACCCGAAAGGCGCCGAGTTCTCCCACAAATGTCCCCAAGACGGCTCAAGTCAAGACCGCCAGAATGGCCCAAGGTGGCCTCCAAGATGCCTGATGCCTCCAAGATGCCTCCAAGATGACCACGATGGCCTCCAAGACGGCTAAGATGGCCTCAATATTCTTCCAAGACGGCCCAAGATGCACCCCAGACGGCCTCAGACAGCCTCAATCAAGATGGCCCAAGACGGCCCAAGAGGCTTCCAAGAGGCCTCCAAGACGGCCCAAGAGGCCTCCAAGAGGTCCTCCAGGAAGGCCCGAAAATGCCAAAATCATTGATGGTCCTGAGGTTTTTGAAGGATTTGGGCATTTGCATTATTTCGGCCTTCCGACGGCACCCCAAGAAGCCCCCAAAAGCCCCCACGAGGCCCAAATAATCTCCCAAGAGGCCTCCAAGAGTCACCCAGAAAGCTCCCAGAAGGCCCCAAGAGGCCACAAGAACGCCCCAAGAGGCTCCTAAGAGGGCTTCTCCTCCCTCCTTCTTTTTCCTCCCTCTCCTGCTCTTCCTCTTCCTCCCCCGTGTGTTCCCCGACGAGTTTCCAAACCGACTCGGGAAACACGTGGTCCGACAGCTTGGCCAAGCTCTAGCCCAATTTTCGGCCACATAGGCGAGTCCAGAACGACAGGGGGCGGCGGTGATTCGCCGTAGGCGTCTTCGATCCGCCGCCCGTTTTGGCTTGCCACAGGGGTGCACAGCGTGCCAAATGTCTGGCATGTTTGGTATTTGTCTGAAGAACTTCTCTGTGGGGCTTCGGCCCAGCCAGCCAGCCACCCAGAAGACGCACCTCTACATGGCTTGTTTGCTGGAGATGGCCTCAAGATGGCCTCCACGACGGGCACGATGGCCTCCCAGACGACAAGATGGCCCCAAGAGAGCCCAAGATAGCCAAAAGATGCACCCAAGATGCACCCAAAACGGCCTACGATGGGCTCAAGATGGCCCGAGACGGCCCGAGAAGCGCTCAGGAGCCCTCCAAGACGGCCCAAGAGGCTTCGAAGAGGACCTACAGGAAGATCCGAAGAGTCGAAAGCATTGACGTCCTCATTGTGTGAAGGTTGCTGCTTTTGCGCCGTTTCGGCTGTCCGGCCCAAGACAGACCGATTGACCCCCAAGATCGCCCCAAGACCGCTGCAGAGGCGTCCAAGATGGCTCCATGACGGCCCAAGAAGCCCCCACGACGGCCCCAAGACGGCCCCAGATAGCTCCCAAGACGCCCAAAATGGCCCCCAAGAAGGCCAAAATGGCCCCAATAGAACTCGCGATGGCTGTAAAATGTCTCCAAGACGGCCGGAGATGCAGCCAAGACGGGCGAAGTTGGCTTCCCGATGGCCCAAGACGGCCCAAGAGGCCCCTAAGAGGGCCCAAGAGGCCTCAAAGAGATCCTTCAGGAAGAGCTGCAAATGCCAAAATCCGTGACTTACCATAAGTGTTGCCTTCCGACGGCCCACGAGGTATCCAAGATCGCCCCAAGATCACCCAAGAGACCTCAAAGATGGCCACATGACGGCCCAAGAGGAACCCAAGACGGCCCCAAAAGGGTACACCGACGGCCTAAGAAGCCCCCAAGACGCTCATGGCCTGCAAGACGTCCAAGATGGCACCACGAGAGCCCAAGATGGTGGCAAGATGCCTCCAAGACGGCTTAAGAGAGCAACCAAGGCGGCAGAAGATGGCGTCAAGATGGCCGAGGCCCCCAGGAGGTCGTTCAGGAAGGCCCCCCCCAAAAAAGCAGAATGATTGGTTGGTCGTATGTGTTTGAAGAGTTCTGACGCGTGCTAACATTCGGCCTTCCGACGGCCCAAGATGGCCGCAGAGGCCACCAAGATTGCCCCGAGAGATGGCCCCCTGACGGCCCAAGGGGCCCCAAAGACGGCCCCTCGACGGCCCCAAGACGGGCCTAGATAGCTCCCAAGACGCCCAAAATGGCCTCCAAGACGGCCCTGCGGCGCTCGAAGAGGGCCCCAAGTCGGCCAGAAAGTCTCCCAAGACGGCTTCCGTCGGCGTCAGACTGGCCAGGAAGACCCTCAAACGGTCAAAGGGCCTACCAGGGAGCCTGCCAAGGCCCCCACAAAGCCCAAGGAGGAAGCCCCCAAAAGGCCTCCAAGAGGCCCCCAGGAAGCTCCCATACGGCTCAACGACGGCCTCCAAGACGGCCAAGATGGCCCCAAGAGAACACAAGATGGCCGAACATGCGCCCAAAACAAGCCAAGATGCACTCAAAACGGCCCAAGAGGCCCCCGAGAGAGCCCGAGAGGCTTCCAAGAGGCCCTTCAGAAAGGCCTGGAGATGCCAACATGTTTTTGAAAGATGTTGGCATTCGCTCCTTGCTGGCCTTCCGACGGCCCAAGACGGCACAAGAAGTCTCCCAGATCGCCCCAAGATCACCCAAGAACCCTCCAAGAAGCCCCCACGACGGCCCACGAGGCCCGCAAAAGACGGTCCCAAGAGGGCCCAAGAAGCGAGAAACTCAGATGCCCTATATTGCACAAGACGTTCTAGATGGCCCCACGAGCCCCACATGGCCGCAAGATGCCTCCAAGAAGGCCCAAGATGCAGCCAAGACGGCCTCAGATGGCCGCAAGATGGCCCACGACAGCGTGGGAGGCACCCCAGAGGCCTCCAAGAGGTCCGTCCGGCAGGCCCGATGAGGGTTCTGTGCGTGCTTGCGTGTGCGTGTCCTTCCTGGCCCAAGGCCCGCTGACGGCGCCGTGGAGTCCTCGAACGCGGCGCGCACCTGGGTCCGCTCCTCGAAGGACAGCGACCAGGCCATCATCTCCATGCAGGCGTGCCTGCCGCACGCGCGCACGTGCGGACCCCAAGAGTATACACCACCACCACCACCACCTTCATTAGGGGAACGAAGAATGACATAAACATAAAACTCGGATGTCCGCGCGGATTGCTCGGATCCGCGCTGGAGCCAACTGGCGGCGCCTCTGGCGCCGCCACTGGCTCGCTCCGCGCGCCAGGGAGGGGGGTCCAGCGCGGATTCGAGAAATCAGCGCGGACCTCCGAGTTTTTATGTTTATGTAACTTTTTGTTCCCGTATTCATCCCCCTCCCCTCCTCCAGCCTCCTCTTCCTCTCCTCTGTCCTGGGAGAGGGAGGGGGTGAGGGAGGCGGTGATGGTATTCTTGAAGAGGCCCTGGGACACACAAATAAATACACACAAATAGCAGGAGTCCCCATATTCCCCATATTTTCTGGGTTTCTGTCTTCCCCCCCACTTCCCACATTTTCCCATATTTTCCTGGGGAATCGACGATGAAATTTGTCTGTGTGTGTTTTTCCCCTCCTGAATTTTGGGGCCCCGTGGCACACCCTCGGCTGCCTAGCCGCCGCCGGCGACCAGTCCGGGCCGCCGGGGCTCGGGCATTCGCACCTGCGTTCTCGAGGCCAGGCTTGCCGCTGCTGCAGGGCGGGCTCTCGTAAGGGAACAAAAAATGGCATAAACATAAAAGCTCGGAGGTCCGCGCGGATTTCTCGGATCGGCGCTGGACCCCCCTCCCTGGCGCGCGGAGCGCGCCAGGGGCGGCGCCGGAGGCGCCGCCGGAGGGCCCCAGCGCCGATCCGAGAAATCCGCGCGGACCTCCGAGTTTTGATGTTTATGTCACTTATTGTTCCCCTATTTCTGGCCATGCGAGACATGTCCGTCTGTCGGTCTGCCGGAGCTCCAGCCCATCACTGGGGTGCGGCACGGTGCCTCCTGTGCGTTCGCTCTCGCGGCTGCCGCCCGCGCGGGAGCCAGATTTGGGGCCCTTCGGGATGTCGGCTGGGCGCGCCCAGAAGCTAGCTCAGAACATGGCGGAATGCCCATGGACTCGGGCTGCGCCCATGGCGGACTGCCCATGGACTCGGACTGCCCGTGGACTCGGACTGCCCATGGACTGCGTCAGAACATGGCGGACTGCCCATGGCGGACTGCCCTGGCCTCGCCTTCGGACTGCCGGCCCATGTGACCTGGGGGTCCCAGAGCGGTGTGGTGACAGACCCGGCGCTGACCTCGAGATCCGCAAAGACCTCACCGAGACATCCTCGGAGAACGACCCCGAGTCCCAAAACCGTGCGGTGACCCCGAATCCCCACCGACTCACCACGGTGTGGTCACCACCCCGGATGGGGGCCCCCGAGTGACTTGCGGCAGCGGCCACCCCTGCCGGAGCTCTTCGTGCGGTGCCAGTGCCCTCCTCCCCCCACCCGCTTTCTCGCGGCCGCGCTCTTTCTCCTTCCGCCCCTCGTGCGCCACCGGGCAATTCGTACACCTTGTGTGCCCCAGGCCGCTAGAGCGCACGTAAGTCGGGGAGACGTAAGACCCGGGTACGGGGGACTCGGAAATCCCCGACGAGGTCGTCAAAAAAATGACGAGGCCGAGCCTGCATTTTGACGAGGCCTCCCGCTGCAGACATCCCACGAAACTCCTCCTCGTCAAAATCCGAGTCGCGGTCGTCAAAAAACGATGGCGAACCCGAGTCCCGGCAAACCCGGGTCTTACGCTCCCCCGAGTAAGGATCGCCTCTGCCGCGCTGCGACGAGCAGAGGCAGGAAAGGGAGGAAGAAGGAGAAGGAGGAGGAGGAGGATGAGAGGAAGGGACGCGAGGCGCTGACGAGGACCCAACACCACAGGATGGTTGGGAAAAAGTGAATTGAGGCAGCGCCACACCCACAGCAGTCGACACCAGCGGCCATTGGCATAAGCGTCAGCCTCCCCTCTTCTGCAAAAACCATCGGCAACCGGGAACACGAAACCGGGCAACCGCTGTCAGCGGTCGGCGGCGGGGGGTCCCCCCTGGCATTGCCCCGAATGGAGGAGTGGCGAGTGGAGAGACCGAGCCTGGGTCACCCCAAGGGGCGCGCGTAAGGTGACCGAGCTTCGCGCGCCGCGGGCTGGGGGCCGTCGAGCTGGCCATCGACGCCTCCCCCCCGGGGGCTATTCTATTCTTTGTGCCCGATCAGGTTTTTGTTTTCAGGGCCCTGCTGTCCGAGGCCAGCTCCCACCAGAGGCCGAGGCGGGGGAAAAAACAACACAGAGGCCAGGCTGGCGGATTCCCGTGAGAGCGCCGGTCCCCTCGTGGTGAGCCTTTTTTACTCGGCGTTTCGACGTTGGGCGGAAGGGGGGGGGGTCTGGCTCCGGACCTCCGCTTAGCGCGGCTGCTTGCAACAGTGCTGCCTCTGAGGCCCCTGGGGGAGACTCCACCCGCTCGAAACAGGCGCCAAGAAACAGCCAAGATCTGCTGCATGGCCATGGGGAGGGGGTGCGAGGGCCCGCGCCGATCGGCAGAACTGAAGGGGCCCTGGGACACACAAAGAAATAGACACAAATAACAGGATTGCCCATATTTTCCTATATTTTCTGGGTTCTGTCTTCCCCCCCACTTCCCATATTTTCGCATATCTTCCGGGGAATCGACGACTAATTGCGTCTGTGTGTTTCCGCCCTCCTGAGAAACAATGAATAACAGAACGATCACGTGCTGTGGGCCCTGGCCCCTCGCCGGGCACGACCGAGCAAGGTGGAGGCCAGTCCACAAGAAGCCTTCCACAAGAAAACCCCGCCCTGAGACCCCAGGACCTCCATGGGTTTCTGATGTGGGGACGTCACGCTGCCCATCGCAAAGCCATCGAAGCCCAAGAACCCCAGGGCACCCTGGAGGCAAGCAGGGTGTTTCTTGGCATGGGCCTCCATTGTAGGGGCGGCGCCCAGCAGCGAGCAATTGACCAAGACCGACAGTCGGTCCCCCCGAAGGGGCTCCGAAGGCGTCCGCCGCGAGCCCTGTCACCCTGCGGGTCTGGTCGACCCTGGGCCATATCGGGCGGCCCCTGCAGGGGGGTCTACCTGGCTGGCTGCGGACATCTGACATGCAAAACGGGGACGTATCCAGACACCATGCAACCAGCTGGTGGAATAAGGACGCACGATGAGGATGCAAGGGGCATGCGCGCGTCCGAAGGTAGGCAAACAACATGATCGACCCACGGACCTGGAAAGGAATCATGAAACGCGAGACACCTGATTGGGCGACAGGCACTTGCAATGCTGAGGGTATCGCTCGTGATGCCCCGTGCCAAGGCTTGTGCTGCGCAGTGCCGTGCGGAAGCGAGATGTGTCGTGCAGCGATGATTTGCGTCGTGCTCTATAGCGTTGTGGATGCAAGCGCTGCGTGAGGAATAGACACAAACTGTCGCAGGTCCACGATGGTTCCTTGGACCTGCGCTAGACCACCCTCCTTGGCGCGCGGAGCGCGCCAGGGTTCGGCGCCAGAGGCGCCAGGGGGCCTGGCGCAGATCCAAGAGATAAATCCACGCGGGGCTCCGAGAGTTCATGCTTATGCCTTGTTTTCGCCTTCGAACAAGCAGGCAAACAAGAGGGGGAGGACGAGGGGAAGTTTCGAGCCCGATGGTTTGTGCCCCGATTGCCTGTTGTATGTGTCATTGTTCGTTCCCAGACTGATCCATGCGCTTGGATTTCCTCGACTCGGGGGCGCCGCAAATTGAGCAGGGACCGACCGCCCCGGCATTCTTATAGGCCTACCACGAAATGTTCTCAGAACCCAGAAATGCTCGAATAACAAGAATTACATCTGAGAAAACCCAATCAGTCGATGAGTTGAAAAGTAATACTATGGATCTTGAGATCGATTGTGAGATCGACAATGTGATCGATAGTGGAATCGATAGTGAGGACGATTGTAAGGTCGATCGTGAGACCGAGTGAAATCGATTAAATGAGATCGATAGTGAGATCGATCGCGAGATCGCTCATGCGATCTCTAGTGAGATCGCTTGTGAGATCGATAGTGAGATCGATTGTGAGATCGATGGTGAGATCGATAGAGGCATGGGTAATGAGATCGATGGTGAGACCGATCGATAAGAAGATCAACCAAAAACCCGGGAACCCGGGAACCTCGCCGCCCTCCGAAATCGGCCCGGAACCCGGAACCGGAAACCCGGGAACCCGGAAGCGGGAACCCGAGAACCCAGCGTGCGACCAAAATCGGCGGGACACTTTCGCCAAATCCTCCAACTTCCGCGAGGTCCATTTCAGTGCAAGCACAGATTGGGGAAACAAGACAGTCTCAGCCAGAACTGTTCTAAGAACATGTCGTGCAGACCACACAAGGTTCTTAGAACGTTCTTTGGTAGGCCTATAGGCGAGCTAGGACGCTTCGCCACTGCTTGAGCCAGAGCTGCCAAATCCGCCCGCCGCGCCCACCGCTCTCGGGAGCGGTCAAGAGGGGGGCGTCCAAGAGGGGGGTGTGCAAATCATGGCCAGCGGCATGTGCGCGGCCCAGGGGGGGGACCAAGGACGTAATGAAACAAGAAGAGGCGCCATGAAATCTAGGGAGATATCATGGCCCCCGACATGATATCCACCCCCCCCCTGGTCATCACCCCCCTCACAGGGGAGAAGAGGAGGATGAGGAGGAATCGGAGCCGAACCGCGAAGCGCGAAGCGCGAAGCGCGAATAACTTCGCGCCCTCGAGGGCGCCCTTGTTTTTGGACGCCCGAAATGGGCACGGAAACAATGGGCACAGTGCCCAACAGCAAATGTTGTCCCGAACCAGCAGCGGCCGCTGTTGGGCAGGCGGCCTCCTGCCCCGGATGGACACAGGCCGCGGCGGCGCGGACAGCGAGTCCTGTTCAAAATGGACAGGGGCTGCATTGTTTCCGTGCCCATCTCGCTCGTGCAGAAAAGCTGCCAACTCCGCCCGCCGCGCCCACCGCTCGCCGGCCGGGCGGCCGCGGGCGCGCCGGAACTTGGAGGCGCGCGCGAAGCTCTGCAGCGCGGAGAGGATGCTCCTGCCGGGGGGGGGGGCAGGGCCGGAGAGCTCAGGATCGGATCGATGAGTCGGATCGGTGGTCGAGAGAACGGGAATCTTGCTGGATCATACATATATATATGTATATAATATACATATAAATATATACATATATATGTATATATATATATATATATATATAGATAGGGAGGGGTTCCCAAGGGCCCTGGGACTGATTTTGTACCCGGCTGTTTTGGACCCGTCGGGGAGCACCACAACGCGCGTCCACGGAGGGGAAAAAGGTGCGACGCGGGGGCACTTATGCCGTCCTCTGCTCGTCGATGACACCCCGTCACCTGCGCCTTGATGATCGAGGTTGTGAGTATGTCAGTGCGCGGCCCCCGAGTTCCCGGCCCCTCCTCCGGGGGCGAATCTCTGTCCCGAATCCGTTTTTGATGTCCCAGGCGCTTGAGAATCGGGCCCCTGGAGCCAAAAACTGAGAGCGCCAGGACCGGAAGGATCAATCCTTCGGAGGATCAATCCTTCGGAGGTCCGAGGCAAGCCTGCCCCCTTCGGTGCCAATCACGGACGCGGCAAGGGTGTGGTTGGGGGCAGCCGGTGGCTGTTCGCCTTGGAACGCCAGTGAAATCTGGCCTCGGGAAATGCAGGACAACTTCTGCTCGAGCTTACAGACAAGTCTTGACACCCACTGAGGAGGAGAAGCCCGACCTAGCTCAGCGGCGGATAGCCCTGCGTGTCGAGCGGCGGCCAGAGAAAGGAGCATGAGGACGACGACGACACCGACGACATCGGCAACACCGACGACTGCGACGACGATCACGACGACGTCGACGACGTCGTCGAGGACCTCGACAACGGCGATGACGGCGGCGACGTCAACGTCGACGACGATGACGACGATGACCTCGACAACGACGACGACGGCGGCGACGCCAACGTCGACGACGACGTCGACGATGCTCTCGACCCACGCCGACGACGTCAATAACAACGTCGACGACGGCGGCGACTGTCTCGACGACGTCCTCGACGACGACCTCGACGCCGACGACGTCAACAGCAAAGCCGACGACGACGGCGACTGTCTCGACGACGCCCTCGACGACGAAGACGTCAACGGCAAAGCCGACGACGGCGGCGACCGTCTCGACGACGCCCTCGGCGACGACCTCGACGACGACGACGACGACGACGACGACGACGACGACGTTGGTGGCGCCGTTGTCTGCAAGGGCTCCCAACTTCGCGCTTCGCGCTGCGCGAAGCGCGAAGTGCGAATAACTTCGCGCTCTCGCGCCGCCTCCCGGGGGAGAAGGGGAGGACGAGGAGGCATCGGAGCCGAACCGCGAAGCGCGGAGCGCGAATCGCTTCGCGCCCTCGAGGGCGCCCTTGTCTTTAGGGGTCCACACGCCTCCAATTCCCGAACCCCTCCTCCCCCTCCTCCTCCTCCTCTCCTCCTCCTCCTTCTCCCCCCTCCCCCTCCTCCCCTCCTCCTCCTCCTCCTCCTCCTCCTCCTCCTCCTCCTCCTCCTCCTCCTCCTCCTCCTCAACCCTCCTCCTCCTCCTCCCCCCCGCGCTCCCGTCGACGGCCCCGTCGCTCGCGTGCTCCCGCTCAACGAGCCAGGGGTGCCGCAGGGCCTCCGCCGCGGTCATCCTCGGGGCTCCGCGGGGCGGCGCCGCGCCGCGGGGGAGCCACGCCGAGAGGAAGCACCACGTACAGTTAAGTCGGGCGCGTCCTCCTCCAAAGCGCCTCGACCCTCGACCCTCGATTCTGGAGGTTGGAAGGGCGAGAGTCGAGCATAAAAGATTGAGGCCGAAGGATCGAGTCCCTGAGCACCACGTAGAGTTAAGTCGGGCGTGTACCCCTACAGGGGGATGTGCGACGAACAAAATTTAAAAATACCCCAAAAAGGATACTCCGAAATGGTGTTAACAAAAAGAATGAGAAATAAACAAAAAAACATTAAACAAAAAAAAAAAAAAAAAAAAAAAACTCCAGGCTATTGTTTGACTATGTTTGAACATTCCCCCTGTAGAAGGACAGGCCCGACTTAAACGTCCGGTAGGCGCTCGACCGCCGTGAAGGAGCCCTGGGGCACACATATAAAGACACACAGATAGCAGGATTCCCCATGTTTTCTCATATGTTCTGGGTTTGGCTTCCCTCCCACTGCCCATATGTTCCCATAGTTTCTGGGGAATCGACGATGAATTGTGTCTGTGTGTTTTCCCCTCCTGATACGTACAGTAGGAGCTCGACCACAAGAGACCTTCCACAAGAAGCCAAACCCTGAGACCCCAGGACGTCCATCGATTTTGGGTGTGGGAGCGTCACGCCTTCCAGAGCAGAGCCATCGAGATCCAAACCCAGGGCACCCTGGAGGCAAGCAGGGTGTCTCTTGGCATGGGTCTCCACTGTATGTGTTTTTCCCCCCGCGGAAAGCACCACGATGCAGCAACTCTGTGGAGCGGTCCTGCAGGCACAGCCGGAAGCTGTAAAAGAACGAAGCAGTGAATGACGCAGGCGTGAAACACGGGAGGACGGAGGACGGAGGAGGAAGCACAAAACAAGCAAGCGAACGATCGAAACGAGCTGCGGCGGCACCTGTGGATTACCCTAGTACAAGGCCAACGCCGATCTGCCGGGTGGAAAAAAAGATCAAGGAAGTTGGACAGCACACTTCCGCCGAGAGGAAACACTATGCATCCTCTGCGCGGCTTTGCGCGGATGCCCCGCGCGGAGCGTATGCTTAGGTCGAATTCGGGACCAGAAAATATATCCAAATATACCCCCACATGGTCAAAAATGAGACAACTAATAATAGTATAACGAAAGAAAACAAAACAAAAACAACAAACAAAAAAACAACAACGTCGCTGACTACTTTTGGGCTATTTTTGAATATTCCTCCTGTAGAGGTACATTGCAACCGTACCACGAATTTCTTAAGAAGCGTCGGGGGGGAGTCGCCCACACCGAAAGCCCCACATCGACCCCCGTCGCGAGCAGCCACCGCGCACCGAAGGCGCTACGACCCCCGTCGCGGCGCGACGACGAGGCGAGGCTGACCCCCGTCAGGGGGGGACCCCGCACGCTTGTTCAGAAACGCAGAGTACGCATGGGGCCCTCCTGGCCCGTTTTGGGGCCCTCTCTGCTCCCATGACGCGTTCGTCCGGGCCGGGCCGGGGGGGGGTCAAATCTCCGGTTGGAGGAGGGAGGGCGGGAGGAGGGTGAAGGAGGAGGAGGAGGAGGAGAGGGAGGAGGAGGAGGAGGGTGGAGGAGGAGGACGAGGAGGAGGAGGAGGAGGAGGAGGAGGAGGAGGAGAGGGAGGGAGGGTCATGGGATCGCGCCTCGGCATCCAAAGCCGCGAAAGGCGCGGACACGGCCGTGCCCGTCGCTCGTGGGCACCCACCCACCACCAGAGGAGGTTCCCGGAGCTGCTCGGGGGCCGTCTGCGCTGCGCTTTTCGGCGACGATGTTTGCGATTGCTCTCGGAAGGCCTCGGAGATGTCGGAGGCTCCGGCAAGATCCCAAAATGGTCCGCGAGTTCCCGCGGGCTTTGAGAAGGTTGCGGAACGAGACGCCGAAGAGAAGTGGAGGGATGGCCGATTGAGACAATGGTGGCTCTAGCACCTGGCTCACATCCACTCAAAACGAGATCGACCCACGAATCCAGAAAGGAATGTAAAAACACGAGGCATAATTACGTTTTCAAGACACCCGATTGGGCGACAGACAGTGCAATGCTGAAGGTATCGATCGTCATGTACAAGAGCGCGCTTGTGACGCACTTCTCACTAAAAGGCAAGCCCCACCTTCAAGCTACCACCCCATCCCTTGGAAAAAAGGGGCTGGGGGGTTCCGAATTAATCCCCCCCTCCCTCCCGTGTGGGGATTTTTAAGCGGGGGGGTCCTAGTTCTAAAGGGGAGGGCGGGCTTGGAAGCTACCACCCTCCTCCCCCCTGTCCAGAACCACAGGTTAGCCCAAGCTTCCCTTTCAAAGGGGGGAGCTTCGGAAGCTACCCCCCCCTCCTTCTCGCAGCTGAGATTGGCTGGCCAACGGGAGCGGGGGGCTTCGGAAGCTACCCCCAACCCCCTCCCCTTCTGGAGCCCAAGGCCAGCTCGGGCGTGCCTTTCAAGGGGGGGGGCCTCGGAAGCTACCACCCATCTTTTCGCAGCTGAAATTGCCCTGCCAAAGATAGGGGGGGCTTTGGAAGCTACCCCCCTCGTTTTCGCAGCTGAGATCGGCGATCCATTGGTTTTGAGTGCGCTTTTGGTTTTTGGTGCATTATGGTTTTTTGGCGCTGTTTTGGCTTTCGGCGCCGCCATGGTTTTCGACGATCGTTTGGTAGTCGGCGTGTACTTGGATTTTCGGCGCTTCCTCGTCGGTTTCTAGAGCCTTTTCTGGTGGTCGTCGGCTCTTTGGTTTTCGACGTTCGGTTTGTTTTCGGCGCCGGCTGGGTTTTGTTGCTCCTGTGCTTTTGGCGCTCTTTCGGTGTTCGGCGTCGGGTTGTTTCTCGGCGCCCGTTTGGTTGTTGCCGCCCTTTGGGGTTTTGGCGGTTATTTGGATTTCGGCGTCCCTTTGGTTTTCGGTTTCCTTTGATTTTCAGAGCTCTTTCGGTTTTCGGCGCTCTGCTCGTATTCGGCGCCTTCTACAATTTTGGCGCCTCCTTGGTGTTCGGGTGCTTTGTTGCTGCTGTGCGCTCTTTTGGATTTCGGCGCGTCTTTGGCTTTCGTCGCCCTTTGGCTGTTGGCGGTCTTTTGGTTTTTGGGGCCTTTCTTTAGCCACAGGGGGGGGAGGGCTTTCCGAGTCGTTCTCCTCCTTTAGCCGAACAGGGAGGGAGGCGGGGGGGGCTTCCGGCAAGGATCGTCGACAGGAAAAAGGCGACCATGTGGTTTTCGGGGCCGCTCCGGTGTTCGGCGCATCATTGGTTTTCAGCGTCGCTTTGGTTTTCAGCCATCTGTGGCTTCTTGGGGCATCGTTGGTTTTCGGGGTCCTTTTGGCTTTCGGTATTCTTGTGGTTTTGGGCGCTTCCTGCCCTTCCCCTTACCCGTAATTCGACGACCACCACTCTTACCCTCTCCTCTGGTAAACATCTCGTCGTACTCGTCGTCAGTAAGGAAGAAATGAGGAATGCAATGCCCGTGTCGTGCAGTCTCGCCCTCTTCCCACCTTTGCCCTTGCTGTGTCCCTTTCTGTGCAACGTACGTCGAATGTTCCTGCGCACACGCCGTAATGGCTTCTTCATGAACTCCCTCCACCTCCTCTTCGCATGACGCGTAGAGATATAAAAAAACTCAAGTGCTGGTCCTAAGGTGTGTGGGCATGTCTGACATGTCAACCGGTTAAACACCGTCTTACGACTCTGTGTCTGTATCTGTACCAGGGTGAAGGGTGAAGTTGGTTCGGCTTGGCCACTTGGGCACCAGAGGGTCGTTTCCAGTTGGGTCGCAGTGGTGACTGCGTTCCGTCTCCAGTCGTTACTGCCAGCTGCCTCGCTGCCACTTGCCTGGCCAGTGAGGAAGGCTGTGACTTCTGTGGGTTGTCTGACCATATGTTGCGGCCTGTTGCCGTGTCGTATCCACTGCTTGCGAACGCGTAGTCTGTTTGGACAATGGTGCAATGTGGCGCGCCTGCGTGTCCTCAACCAAACACCCCACCAAGATTGCCAGGGGATCTCTCGGCGAAATGGCAAAAAGAACGCGTTCGCTCAAATAACAATCCTTACTCGACCTGGGTTTGGGGCATTTGGTGGTTCACCGGCTGCCTCATCTGTGACGCTCGTACTGGTCCTGCTTGTATGGTTCGGAAGAAAATGGTGGTCGGTTTTTGGACGTCGGGAATATACAAGCCAACTGATTGGGCCTCGAGCCTGGCCATCTCGAGTATCTGGCGAGCATCAAGTCGATCCGTTCCCCTGCAGGCACACTGAAATCAACGAGTCGGGAGCCCGAGTCTGACTGGCGCTCGTCTTCCACATGTGTATGTCCTGGTGGGTATGGTTCCAGTGATGTCCCACTGCTAAGGTAGCGACGTCTGCGCCGCGTTGCAAATGACCTACAGAAAGTTCCACTGCCACCCATATGCTAGCAAATACAAATAATCTTAAGGTAGTGGGTAAATGCCAATGATTTGTGGTGGTGGTCTGTTCTCTTGTCGGTGTGCTCAGCTGTTAAACGTCGCACAGGCTGTAGTTACATGTTTCCGTCCATTGCATAGTTGTTTAGCGGTAGGGCAACGTACGAAAGCTTGTTCAGGACGTAGTGACATTCAGCCGTGGTAAATATACCACAGATCTCCTAGGAATGGTGCTAGAAGCAGACGTAATGGTCGTCATAGACCCGTTGACGGGCGTAGGCCCGTTGCCGAACACAGGCCCGTTGCTGAGCTGCCCGCGCCAGCTTCCTGGCTCTGTTCCCCGAACATGTCGGCGCATGCTAATCCAGTTTGTTATTCCAAACAGTGCCGTGGAGAATTGCAAGCAACCGAGCCAACCACACAAGTGTGTAGCATGCTTCGCTACCAAGTCGAAGAGGTGCCTCACGACTGAGGCTCGCCATGATGTGACGATATTGGGCTAGATAAGTATCTTCTCCTGCACTCAGATCCTATTCAGAGAACCATATCCTGATGCCGGCAACTGAGCAGTAAAAAGCCGCGGAGACGCTCGCTCCTGCCTTGCTCCCGTTCGCTTATCCAACTAAGCAGCTCCCTTTAAAGTCGACGCAGGCGGTGCGATGAGCGATGAGGGCCAACGCAGACTGCATTCTGTCGGCGGAGCTGGGCGAGGGAAAACACACATTGAGCTAACACACGTCCCGACGATCATCGATGGTCGGAGTTTCAGGCTGCAGGATCTCGAAGCACAAGGACCAAGGCGAGGACAACACTGTGGACACGGCCCGCCCTCAACATGCGAAGCTAGTGTAAGGTTGAAAAAAGAAAGCGCGCGGCGCCACGGCGAAGATTCAGCCATTACGCCCTGCATACTGATCACACGAATGCGCGTGGCACAAAGACGAGATCCACACTTTCAGAACGACCCGTGCTCGATCCTCGCAACTCTTGGATGGTCAATACTTGCGCTCCTGAAGTGTGAGAGTGTCTCAAGCGAAACGCCCGACTCGCCCTCCCGGAACGTCCGGTGGTGCGACGAGGACTCAGGCAGAAGGAACAGGGTTGGATGAGGATGAGGAGGGCGGATGCCTGAGCATGGGCGTTTCAGAGCTTGGCACCGCAGAGCGGGCGTCCTCTTCGTGGGATCGACGACGAGCAGCTTTCTAATGAAGTCTTTCGCCTTCTCCGACACCCGCTCCCACACCGGGTCCTCGAAGTCCTCGGTAGAGGCATGCCAGCGCTGACGCGGGACCAGGCCCATCCTGACCAGACCCAGGGGGAAAAGGAGGAGGAGGAAGAAGAGGAGAGGGAGGAGAAGGAGGCGGAGGAAGAGGAGGACCGTGCACATGCACAGATCCTGACCAGACCCATCTCCTGTGCACAGGATCTGTGCATTGTGCCCGCCCTGGCCGGGCCATGAAGGCACATGCACCGATCGCGAGCCCAAGATCTGCCTGGCCACGATCGGTGTAGGTGTATAGCCCGCGCCTACAGACAACGAGGAGCATCAGGATATCGCCTTCCTCGTCATCCTCCCTCCCTCCCTCCTATTCCCTGCTTCCTCCCTCTTACCCTTCCTGATATGATTCGCCCTCAACCTCTTCATCTTCCTCCTCCTCCTCCTCCTCCTCCTCCTCCTCCTCTGACTCCTATTACTCGGTGATCTTGATGACCCGAGCCGTGCCTAGTCAGTCGACAAACAGACGACACGCGACAGCAAAGAACGGATGGACAGCTCGCAAGTTACACCCAGTCGTGGGCCGAGGCGGGGGAATGGGAAGGAAGTGGAGAGGAGAGAAGAGAACAGAGGGGAAACGACTGGCCCAACCTGGAGCTGGTCCTATGCAAGAGACCTCGGAAAAAAGTTCCGACAGTACAGAGCAATGCTTGGGGGTCTTATCCCTCCCCTTTCTATCATCCCTACTCCCTCCCTCCCTCCCTCCCTCCCTCCCTCTACCCCAAGGCCTCCCTCCCTCCTCTCTCCTCAATCCTGCAGCGCACACCCACGTCGCATCCGCGGGGGCGCGCGCCGCGTCCCGGCCCCCGCCCAAAGTTGGCCCCAAGACGGCCCAAGAACCTTCCAAGATAGCACCGCGACTGATCTCCAAAATCCCCCAGACGGCTCCCAGACCCACTCCCTGGAAAAAAACAACAACAGCAACAACAACAACAACAACAACAGCAGCAGCAACAACAGCAACAACAACAACAACAACAACAACCACAACAACAACAACAACAACAACAACAACAACAACAACAACAACAACAACAACAACAACAACAACAACAACAACAACAACAACAGCAACAGCAACAGCAACAGCAACAGCAACAGCCACAGTAACAACAAGAACAATAACAAGAACAAGAACAAGAACAACAACAACAACAACAACAACAATCACTTTACCCGAACGCTCAGTGTTCTCACCAGTGCCAGGGTTTTCATGCGACGCCAGCCAATACCCCCACTTTGTGGGGGGGCAGTGCAAGCTCTACCAAATATCCACACGACTCTTCGCCACCACCCACACCCAGCTTCCCGCCCTATGACGTTCGGACACTTCACTTCGTGGCCTGCGGACGACCGTGGCTACTACACTGGCGTGGAGTACACACCCACAGAAGTTGTTAAGCCTACGTTCGTACACCCACAGAAGTTCTTAAGCCTTGTTAACCCACAGAAGTTGTTAAGCCTTCCACAGAACATCCACAGAACAGACTGTATGCGGTGCTAAAATTCTTAAGAACCCAATGGTTTTTGGAGATTTCGGCGTGCGCGCGCGAAGAAAAAACGAATGTGTCCCGCATGGTATTATTTGACAGGGATGATGGCCCTGGCAGGTGCGCAACCGTTGTCGCAGAAGTTCGAAAAAGTTGCTCGCAAAAGCCCGTTTGACAGAAATGTTTAAAAAGTGTTGGGTTTCCTACGAATCCGCAAGAGCGCGCGGGATGAGATTTTGACATTTTTTTGTTGAAAAACCATTGGTTTTTTGATGTTTTTATGTTAAAATCGCTCCGAACACTAAGCTTTTGGAAGGATTTCGTCTTGCGCGCGCGAATGTCCACTTTACCTTATTTTTTGCAAGGGATTCTTGAAATTTGATTATATTAGAACAAGAAATGTCATTTTATAGTGTTTTTTGCAAGGGAAAACGGATTACAACAAAACAACCGGATCTTGATCACATCGTATTACCTGAGGCTTCCTCACGAAAATGATGAAAATGTAGCTGCGGCCTAGGCGGCGCAGGGGGGCCGTGCACCAGGGGTCCCAACAATAATTATTCTTTAGAATTAATAATGTTCAACAACAACAACAGCAACAACAACAACAACAACATGACAGCCTCATCGCTGACATTCTAGGCTGATCCACTCACGGATCCAATAACCATCACGTTCTCGGTGGCACCATCATATACGCAGCATGCTGCTCCCCCGAGCTCCCCAAGAGGCCTTCAAGAGGCAATCGGATACTCCCCCAAAGTCTTCAAGGGGCTCTAAGACGCCGCCCCGAAAAGTCAACGCCAGAGTCATGCGGCGCTACAGAAACTCCACGCACGAAACACTGCTGCGCTGCCTTCCCCAAGGCATGCATTAACGGGCGAAGAACGGTATAAAATAAACTTTTTCGCTGTCGGGGGCGCCTGTCCCAGGGCGGCTGGAAAGTTTATACCCGTACGGTGGCACCGTAGGGGTATAAACTTTCCAGCCGCCCAGGGACAGGCGCCCCCGACGGCAAAAAGGATCATTGTATACCGTTCTTCGCCCGTTAAATGCAGCGGATGTGCACGGCAGCGCAACCAGCACGACCTGCTGCCCGAGCCTGGCCTGCCTCGAGACCTCTCCGAGGCGGAGCTTGCCCGGGACCCGCTCAGAACCTCGACGTGGGACCCCCCCTGCACGACCCGTGGCACGACGCTCGGGTGCAGCAGAAACCGTGGCCCCGAGGGGAGCTCCACCGAAGGTCCCAATGCTGCCGCCCGCATGCACCCGGCACAGTGTTCTGACTACCTACCAGACCACCCCAACCCAACCCGAAGACCCGAATTTGACCCGAATTTCGGGTTGGGGGGGGGTACGGATACCATGTGTTTTTTCAACGTTCCCCGACCCCCCCCCACTGGAAATGGAAGGCAAATTGAGGGCTTCGGGTTGGGTTGGGGTGGTTTGGTGGGTGGTGATGTTCGTGGCCTCATAGGGAGCTCCACCGAAAGCCCCAAGGCTACCGCCCGCATGCGTCCGCCATACCCAGCACAGCGCTTGAATCGGAAGGCCAGAGGGACAGGCCCGGATGCCATCCCGAGACGGGTGGCGCGGTGGCGCATCAGCGCCCCCAGTTCTGATACTCGACGGGTGATTCCAGCCACCGTTCGCACTATCCACCATTCCCACCATGCCGCCAGAGATGAAGGATGGGCCGAATCGCCGCGAACTTTCAGGGGTCGCGCTTGTGCTTAAATTTACGCAGGTCACTAACACCCCGTCTATGCTTCCCATACAGAGGAGTCGGGCGATGTCCCACTTGCCAGACTTTATCAAGAGGACCTGATTCATGTCCGAGCCATCAAACGGCATGTACCCAGACAGTAATATGAACACGCACACGCCGAGGCTCCTGCGCAGGCGATGATATTATTTCTTGAGGGGGGCAGAACTCATGACAGCCGATGTTTCAAGAGAAGGAACCGCAGTGTGCAGTCACGACTCTGGGACTGAAGATGGACGAACAAATGTAGCTTCGACTCCTGCTCACTTATTCTTCATCCTCCTTCTCAAACTCTTCATGCTACTCCTGAGTATGCTGCTGCTGCTGCTTCTACTTGTTATGCTCCTCCTCCTCCTCCTCCTCCTCCTCCTCCTCCTCCTCCTCCTCCTCCTCACGTATCCTCCTCCTAGTCGTCCTCCTTCTCCTTCTCCTCCTCCTCTTCCACCTCCGCCTCCCCTCCTCCATCTCCTCCTCCTTCATCCCCATCCGCATGCGTCATCATCATCATCATCATCAGCAGCAGCAGCATCATCAGCAGCATCAGCATCAGCATCATCTAAAGCATCATCATCAGCAGCATCATCAGCATCATCATCATCATCTAAATCATCATCATCATCATCATCATCATCATCATCATCATCATCATCATCATCATCATCATCATCATCATCATCATCATCTAAATCATCATCATCATCATCATCATCATCATCATCATCATCATCATCATCATCATCATCATCAGCAGCAGCAGCAGCAGCAGCATCATCATCCTCTTTCCTTTCCTCCTTTTCCTCCTTCTACTCCTCCACCTCCTCATCCCCGTCCCTCCCTGTCCACCTCCCACTCACCCCCCTCCCCTCCCCCACCTCCTCCCCTTCCTCCGTTCCCCTTTACAACCTCTTCCGGCAAGAACCTCGAAGGACTGCATCATGGCGGCCCGCCTGCTCGCAGACCTGGAAGCTTGGCCAGTGATCCCCGTCTCCTCCTACCGCCTCAATCTCGTCGTCCCATCCCTCTTGGTGGTCAAACTAGTGAGCTGGAATCTGGAGGGCGGAACGCAATGATAAACGACACCAGAGAAAAACCTCAATCTGCGGATGGTTTGAAAATTAGTGATATGGATATTGCGATCCATTGTGAGATCGGCGAGATCGATAGTGGAATCGATAGTGACGACGATTGTATGGTCAATCGTGAGACCGATAATGAAGTCGATTCACTGAGATCGTTCGTGAGATCGATCGTGCGATCGCTCGTGCGATCTATAGTGAGATCGATTCTGAGATCGATCGTGAGATCGATAGAGAGATGGGTAATGAGATCGATGGTGAGACCGATCGATAAAAAGATCAACCAGGAACCTGGGAAACCAGGAACCCCGCCGCCCACCGAAATCGGCCCGGCACCCAGAACCGGGAACCTGGGAACCCGGAACCGGGAACCTGGGAACCCGGCCGCCCACCGAAATCGACCCAGAACGTTCGTCAAATCCTTCGATCTCCGCCAGGACCCCTTCAGTACAAGCACTGATTGGGGGAAACAAAACTATTCAGACCAGCACTTCACATGCGACGCGTCCAGAAACAAAGCAAGATCTCTGCGAACCCGTCGCGGCGCTTGAGCACCGCGCCAACAGAAGGCCTTGGAACCAGATGCGCTGAGCCTGCCTCTGAACAAGATCCCTTCCTCATCTCGTCCGCCTCTAGGGTGGCCAGATCGCCCAGCCGCCCAGATGCACATTGCGAATAGTGCCAAGCGGATCTGTACACAACCACCTGAACGTGATTATGTTTCGCTCCAACAGAGAGCTCGGGATCTTACACGTCGGTCGGAAGAAGTACGTAGAAACATGAAGTAGGAAGGCGGATAAAGTGGATTCGGTCCAGGCCCTCCTAGATCATAGCAAAACACATCAAAAACATGTCGATTGTTGCAGTAGGAAGGCGCTTGAAGTAGATTGGAATCTGGGAATCCAAAAATACCTACTTTTCAACGACCGGCGTGCATCTGTGACATGGAGAGAAGGCGAAAAGGCGATGACAGCGAGGAGGGTGGCCAAATCTAACACGTCCACTGCCCCAGGCCCGGCCCGTCCCGGACCCACGAGCAGACTGTGCGCACTCAAGGCTTGGCCCAGGAGGCAAATACACTGCTCGTGGGCAGGCCCCGAGCAGGAGGAGGAGGAAGAGGGGGGGAGGAGGGGGAGGAGGAAGAAGGGGAGGAGGAGTGGATATGTATAGATGTCGTCACTGCCCTATCCCCCCCCCTCCTCCTGCCCCCATCTGGTGCTGTCCCCCAGGCTGGCCCCGCAACGACGACGCCCACACCGCCATCCCCGCCCCGCGGCGCTGGAGCGGCCCCTCGACGACGACGACGACGACGACGACGACGACGACGACGACGACGACGACGACCACGACCACGACAACGTCGACGACCACGGCAGCGACGTCGACGACGACGACGACGACGACGTCGACGACGGCAACGTCGACGGCGGCGGCGACGACTGCGGCGACGGCGACTCAAACGACGACTGCTGCGACGGCGACGGCGGCGAACGCGGCGACGACGGCAACGGAAACAACAACGACGACGACCACGACGAGGACCACGACGACGACGGCGACGAAAACGACGACGACGACGACAACAGCGGGAACAGCGGCAACACGGCCAACCGCCGACGGCCGACGACGACGGTGGCGGCGGCTGCGGCGGCGGCGGGCCCTCCAGAGGTCGCAGGCGCAGTCGTAGCTGCCGCCCAGCACCTCCGGCGCCACGTACGCCAGCGTGCCGCAGCTGACCTGGCCGCGGCCACTGGAGCCGCCGCCGCCGCAAGAGAGGCACCCAGGGGGAGGGGGTCCTCCTCCTCCGCCTCCTCCGCCGCCTCCTCCTCCTCCTCCGCCCCCTCCTCCGCCTCCTCCTCCTCCCCCTCCTCCTGCCCCTCCTCGTCTTCCTCCTCGTCGGCCTGCTGTGAATCGCTGCCTCCGCGGCACGCGGCGCCCTGCAGGCCGCCACAGCGTGCGGCTCCTGCTCCGCGGTGCGGGCGGCCGGGCACGCCGCTGCTGCGCGGGCCGAGGGGCCTGCCCCGCGCGTGGCGGCCCGAGGCGCGGAAGCCAGAGCCCGCGGCGCGACGCGCTGCGCAGACGGCCCATCCGCAGGCGACGTGCAGATAGGGGGCCGCATGCTCGCAGCACAGCCGGTGCCTCCGGCAGCTCTGCTGGTGGTCCTCGCAGCTCAGCTGGGAGGCCTTCACAGCGCAGCAGGCAGTCCTCGTGGTTCAGCTGGTACTCCAGATTTCACAATAAAAGGGAGGACGGTCTGGACCCTTCAAGACAAGCCATTTCAGACCTCCCCCGTGGGAGAACCCTCCAGAACATCGTCCCCAGACCCCCCAGGCCCTCCAAGATAGCCTGGAAGAGACCCCCCCCCGAAATGAGACCCCCCTCCCTTTATTACGAAATCTGGAGTACCCCTACCCCCCACGATGTCTGAGGGGGAGGGTCGGGTTCACTTCGTTCGGGAACTCCCGAGCGAAGTGAACCCCACCCTCCCCCTCCGAAATCGTGGGGGGCACGGCTCGCATGTGGCCCCCTAGAAGAGCACCAGCCTCGGCTCGGGTCGGGCGAAAGGGGGGGATAGCAAAGGGGGGGGTTGAGAATCAGCTCACGCAGCTGATTCTCCCGGCGCCTCCCAGCGCCGGAGGCGCCCACGTATCGAGGCATGGGCCCCGCGGCGGGGCCGAAACCAGCTGCATGCAGCAGACTTCGTAACCCCCCCTTCCCCTATCCCCCCCTTTCGTCCGGCCCGAGACATGCAGAGCAACGGCCTCGGCGGGAGCGGCCCGAGGCCCTCAGGGCTGCCGGGATGCCAGGCGCAGCTCTGCTGGGCATCCAGCGTGCGAGGAGGCATACACGGTGGAGGCCAGTCCACAAGAAGCCTTCCACGAGAAACCCAACCCTGAGACCCCAGGACGTCCAGTGATCTTTGGCGTGGGAACGTCACGCTCTCCACGGCAAAACCCTCGAAACCAAGAAACCCAGGGCACCCTGGAGGCAAGCAGGGTGTTTCTTGGCATGGGCCCCCACTGTACCCCAAGCGAGAGCAGGGCCAGGGGGGTAGGCACCGCGGCCCCTCAATACACGTCCATTCTCCTCGCGACGGCCTCTTCTAGACGGCCCCTGACGAGAGCGGCACGGTCGGACATGCCTCGCCGTTCCCTTCCCCCTCTCTCTGCGTCGCATATCCATGACTCCGTCTATTCGCCCCACTGCTTCCCCGAGTAATTTCAATGCTCCGCGTGAGGCACCACATAGTCGAACAAGGAAGCACCGAAACGCATCCGGTGGAGCCGACCTTGAAATTGGGGGGGCGGGGCAGGAAGTGGCGACGGTTGCCCAGCACTGCCTCACGCCCTCCCTTCCCCCTTGCATCCTCAGTCTTCGGCATCATCCTCCTAGCCCTCCCTCCCTCGTCCCGTACCCACCCCCCTCTGAAATCCCTCCCTCTTGTTATTCCTCCTCTCCCCTCCCTCCCGCCCCTCCATCCTCCTTTCCACCCTCCTCCTCCTCCTCCTCCTCCTCCTCCTCCTCCTCTTCCCCTCTCCTACTCCCACCCTCCCTCCCCTCCGTTCCTTCGTTCATCACCCCCCTTCCGTCCCATCACTCACCCCTGCCATGCATCCCCAACTTGCCTACTTCCCTTCTCCCCCCCCTCCCCCACCAGCCCTCACACCTTCCCATCCTGGGCCTGCCTCGGAACACGCTCTGACCATGACGCAGGGAATCCAACCGTGACGGCAAGGAACCTCCGAAGGCGCAGTAAAGGTTCTAAATTTCAAAGCTCAGTATTCCTGCTCCTCCTCCTGATCAGCATCCGTATCACCATCATCACCATCATCACCGTCACAACCCGAACCATCATCATCACCCTCATCGAAGTCAACATCACAATCCACAATAAAAATCAAAATCATAACACGGTTCGCTCTGATTTGCCCGCGTGACATTCAACATGTACATCCCAAATCATCGATACCGACCCTGTTCGTCTTCGATCGTACCACCCTTGGGGGTAGACCTTCCTTACCCTCCTCCTCCTCCTCCTCCTCCTCCTTCTCCTCCTCCTCCTCCTCTTCCTCTTTCTCTTCCTCCTACTCATCCTCCTCCTCCTACTCCTCCTCCTCCTCGTCCTCCTCCTCCTCTGCAAAAGCCCGTGGGCCGACGTGTACCTTGACGCCGAGCACCTTGGGGTGGCGGCTCTGACATACAGTGGAGGCCAGTCCACAAGAATCCTTCCGCAAGAAACCCAACCCTGAGACCCCAGGACGTCCACTCATTTTTAGTGTGGGAACGTCACGCTCTCCATCGCAAAACCATCGAAACCCAAGAGATCCAGGGCACCCTGGAGGCAAGCAGGGTGTTTCTTGACATGGGTCTCCACTATATACGCTTCCAGGCGTGCTTTCCCCCCTGCGCACCAAAGCGGGGGAGTGGCGCACAACCCTTGCGCAATCCAGGAGACTGTCCACCTCACGCGTAAAAAATAGCAGCGGCTGCAGAAACAGAAACGAAGCTGCCGTCGGACGCGCCGAGGTGAAGCATCCTGTGCCCCAGAGCCGTGCACCCACAGCGGGAGACCCATGCCAAGAAACACCCTACTTGCCTCCAGGGAGCCCTGGGTTTCTAGGGTTTCGATGGTTTTGCTACGGAAAGCGTGAAGTCCCCACACCAAAAAACAATGGACGCCCTGGGGTCTCAGGGTTGGGTTTCTTGTGGAAGGCTTCTTGTGGTCGAGCCCCTACTGCAGCAGCATCACAACCTCGAATTCCGACGCCGGCTCCACATCGGCAAACTCCCAGGGCGGGTCTGTCCCCCGACCGAGCCCCTCGGAAACGGCGCCCGGGGCCAGGAGTGGCAAAGCCAAACGGGGCGGCTCAAATCGGCCCGAGGTGGGGGGTGACTCGCTCGTCATTAGGACCCATGTCAAGCTTTGGCCACTGAGGCAGACTGTGGGCATCACGCTTCGGTGAACGCTGGGCCTCGAAAGGCAAACCGCGGAAGTCAGCTCAGCTGCGACAGCCCATGCAGGAAGAACGTGGACGGGCTGGCCGACCACTGTTGGGCGATGCTTTTGGCAGACAGATCAGCAGTACACGGGGCCTGAGGCGCAGGGCCACGGACGCGGACCACCTCGAGACCAGTAGCTCTGTCAGAAACCGTAAACGCCCATCTGGCACGATTGAGTTCGGGAACGTCCCGATTCGTAAAGACCGTCTCCGAAAAAATGTAGACAAGTCACGCTCCACACCCTGAGCCCTTTCAACCAATACCTCCTGAGTTGTAAGCCGCTTGAAGCGAAAAGTTCTCATGCCCCAGCGCCCGACTTTGCTTTGGGGCAGAACAACTGATATGGCAGCTGACGCGGCTCTCTATTTGTTCATCTTTCTCTGGGCTCTCAACTTGTTTCTCCTTCTCTTTCATGGTCTCACGAGGGCCCCTTAGGTTTCCAAGAGGGCCCCAAGAGGCGCCCAAGGGGCTCCACAAAACCCTCAAGGGGCTTCCAAAGACTCCCAAGCGTTCTCAAAGAAGCCCTTGAGAGGCCTCAAGAGCCTCTCCACCCCCAGAAGCAGCCAAGACGCTTCAAGAGGCTCCCAGGACTGCTAAGAGACGCCCAAGACGCCCCAAGAGGCCTTCAAGAAGCGACCAAGAGGGGCCCCAGAGGGCCCCACTTCCACCCTCTTCTTCCTCCTCGGTACTCCCTCACCCTGGACCTGGACGGGACCTTTCGCGAGCGGTCAGAGCGTCCAAGATGGGGGGGGGAAGGGGGGCTTTTCAAACGCCCCCCCCCCTCCTTCCAAGGGAGGGGGGGTCCGGTTCCAACCCCCCCCCCTCCTCCAAGCGACCACAGAACGCGCCCTTTCCGATCGCCAGACCTGCATGGACCACTGGCATGGAGCGCACCCCATACACACCACTTGGCGCCCGCGGTGGCACCTGGCGGGGGCCGACCCCTTTGGAACCACAACCCTCACACTGGGCCCACGACGCCTTGCCCCCACGGGGCGCCACGCCTTGTCCCTGGCGCGCCTCCGTACCCCACCACAGCACGTTGCCCCAGTCACGCGCACCAGCACAACGCTGGTGCCGAGGGGGCCATGGCAGCACCGATGAGCAAGGAATGATTGTGAATGACCGCGCCTGGCTCGCAGGAACAACGTGCCCTTCGGAGAAAAGGCCTCTGCAACACTCACTTGGGCGCAGAAGGGCTCAAGGAGGGAGGAGGGGAGGGACTTGGAGCACGAGAGAAATTAGCAGGAAGGGGGTTCGGAGCAGGAAAACAAACGGCAAAACCAAACGGGCGGATCGGGTGGCCGGGCCCTAACCGGCGGGCGGGCGGGCACCGACAGCCAGGTCGAGCGGGCGGGTCGCTGAAGCGTCAGTCCTTCATGAATCGCGAGGAAGTCTCGACCGATAGCGCGATGTCCAAGTAAATCGCGAGGACGTCCAGAGCGAGAGCGTGATTCCTGAGTGTCGAGAGCGCGGCGTCGCAATCAAGTGCAAGCCCCACGTGAGAGCGCGATTGCTGAATGAGTTGCAAGGACGTCCCGCGCAAGAGCGCGATTTTTCAGGGGCGGGCAGTCTGAGCCTCAAGACCTTTCTGTGTAAACAACAGTGCAGGGCCCTGGAGGCGCACATGAATAACAAGAAAAACAAGGTGGACCAGAGGGGGAATCAACAATTCCCCAAACAGTGATTGCGCTTAGTGGTTCTCACTTCTGTTCTAATGAACTGGGCCGCCGTCGCC